GCATTATGGGCTTATAGAACAACTTATAAAAATCTCATAAGTATGTCCCCATTTCGTCTCATTTTTCGAAAGCCATGTCACTTTTTGTGAAATAGAGCATAAAACATTATGGGCTATAAAAAATTTATGCATAGATGAAAAATCAGTTGGTGGGCATAGAATTTTTCAACTACATGAACTAAAAGAGTTGAGAAATGAAGCTTATGAAAATTACAGAATATAAAGAAAAAATTAAAACTTTTCATGATAAATATATTAGTAGAAAAAAAAATGATGTTAGACAAAAAGTGTGATTATATGATTCTAGGCTGAAATTATTCCCAAAAAAATTAAAATCAAAATGTATAGGGCCTTATGTGGTGCAAGAGACATATGATAATGGGGCTGTAATAATTAAAAATCTTAAAAGTGATCATAACTATAAGGTAAATGGACAGTGGCTTAAACATTACATAGAATATGAATGCCTTGTAGAAAAAGAAATGTTATTATTAAAACAAATTCAAGATTAAGATTAATGTGTATAGTTGGAGACATTAAATTCAGTGTTGCATGGGAGGCAACCCATGGTCTTTATTTCATTGTGTTTTTTTTCAGGCTCTATTTTTCTTAGAATTCCATAGTACTTGTTTCTATATTTAATTTTTTTTCCAAAAATGCAAGAGGAGTGTAAGATGAAGTGGAAAATTAAAAATAAGGTTGAGGTGATGTCTTTCTGAGCTTTATCATTTATGACAACATTTTTAGTGCTTAACTTTGTATATATATATGCTTCACTTGAAAATTATATTTTCTACATATCCTATTCTGACTTTTCTATGTCATTGAGGACAATGTCATTTTTAAGTTGAAGGGTAAAGTATTAATTCTTAATTTATGTTATAGGACGATTAAGAACTTGTGTTTAATTTTTTTTTCATGCTCAGTTAGAACAGTAACTAAAAAAAATTCAGAAAAACTATGACATCTATTTTTTGGTTTTCTATCAAGAACAACAAACTATCAAAAAAAGTAGAGAAAAAATAGTCCAAAATTTGAAACTATAGAGACCTTTTTCTCACATTTCAATCCCCTAGACATATACTGTTGAAATTCGAACAACTATAAAGAGGATAATTTTGATTTATTACTAAAAAATTTATTGTTACTAAAAATAGAACACATAACTATCAAAACTATCTAATTTACAAATTTCTTACATCGTATTGCATCCACAAAAAATTAAATTAATTAAATTAATTGATACTAAAAGATACTAAGAAGATTATTATTTAGTCAAAAAAATGATTTAGTAGCATAAAATGTTGGAATACTCTTTAGATACATAATAGATAATATAGATTTGATTTTACAGATTTTTACTTCATGATCTTGATGGATAATATTTACTTGATGTGAAAATTTGATTAATCATTTGAGTTTAATAGGAATTTTTGCACCTTGATCTATAGGACTTGTGAGGAGAAATCACTTATTTTGAAAAAAAAAAAAGAGCAATGTGAAAGGTCTAGAAATGAAAAGTACATATGGAGGGTGTGAGACATCATTCTCATTGTCAAAAATCGTGCATAGAAAAACACTTACTACAAAATAAGTGGATAAAGTGAAAGCCCTGAAAATAAAGAGTACACATGGAGAGTGTGAGACATCATTCTTATTGTCAAAATTTGTCTACAGAAAAAGCTACTTATCTACTATATAAAAAAATAAAAAAAAGAAGAAATATAGTCCAAACTTCAAAAATTAAGTTATGAAAAAAGAAAAATATATGATCAATATCATTCTAAGCTGATTATTGATAATTGAAACATCTTGTAAATATATATTATTTATTACACATGAAGAAATGCATGAGTGAAGAAGTGATAAAGATGTGAAAAGAAGAAGTGAAGTCTAGATTATTGTTCCAAGGAGTGGTTAAACATTTAAGTTCTTGACATCATTCTTAAATACTTGATATAAAAATCTAAAGTGTCTAAAAGTGCATCATTTCTAATTGTATTTTTTTATATGCATTAAAATATCATGTTTGAGATTTGTGAATTTTTATTTTTATAATTCCATTACTACAGGACTAGCAATGATTTAAGTTGGGGGGTGTGATAAATCTTCATTATCATGAGTTAATAATTAGTAAATAATATAGTTTTAGTCTTAACTTATGACAAATAGACTTATATATTTTTTTAAATTGTGAAAAGTGGTTTTCAATTAATTAACGTGAATTTTTGGTTAATTATGTAATTTTTATAGTCTATTTTTTTAGATAAATAAAGAAAAAAAATTAAAATAAAATATAGCAAAAGGGGGGGACCTGTCAACTAGCTGGGCCTACAAGCAAGTTGGAAGTGCAGTTGAGGGGAGCTACAACTAGGGGCTTGAGTGGCTAAGACTGATGGGGGCACGCGTGCACCACTCCCCTTCCACGTCACCGGTGGCTAGCCGATTGTGAGGCAAAGAGTGGGCGTACACGTGGGAGAAAGGAACTCATTGCTTGTAAATGTGATATTACTATATATTCGTCCAAAACTTTAATGCACAAGCAATGTGGAACTAAACCTGCATCACACCTTCCCCTAAAAGGCTTCGAAGATTTTAATACTTAAACCACCCCTTAGTTATAATAGAGATATACTATGATGACGTCACTTGATAAGGGCATTAGAGTATTTATTTCAATCTCTCATGTAAGCCAGCAATTGGTGCAGGTTTGAATACTCCTAGAGCCAAAACTCGTATTTTTATCTAATTATTATGACTTTTTAATAGATTGCCAATAAAAGATTAAGTTGTCAAAATTATTAGATCATTGATGAAAATCTCATCAATGCGATTTGTGAAGTATTGTTATTAAAATTACTGAACGATTCACAATAAAAAGGTCGTGAATCCATCGAGTAAATTATCTCCGATTGATCGACAAACAAGTTGTCGTCAAAAAGAGGACAATCCACTAGAAGACAAGTCATCACCTCTTAAGAGCGTACCGGATGTAATGAACAGCTTTTTCTTATTGTGCAGGCCTAAGGATAAAGCTTCTTGCACACACTCCTCCAGCTCCTCTCCATCACGTGATAGCCACCAGAGAGCTGCAAAGTCATCATTTTTTCACTTCGCCAGGTGATAGTTGTCGAAGATGATTCAACGGCCCATTTCATTGATCTCTAGACTTCACAATGAGATCTAGAGATTGTCCACGTCGTCCTTGTTAAAAGAAAGCCTTTAAAGCCATGGACACTACACAACAATCCTCTCAAATGCTCAGCATTTTAGTGCATCGTCGACGCATCGCTATCGTGATGCCCAAACTCTGTTTTTCTATTTTCAACTTAATTTCTACTTCATTTAGTAATAATTTCTATCATTTAAATTACCAAGCTATATTTTATTTAATTACGCTTCTTCTGACAATTACAAATCTTAATGTGATTAATTAAATTATTTATAATTACTTATGTAAGAATCGCCAAGTAGAACTCTATTTCTGCTCGATTCACCTCGTCAAGCATTGATGTTATCTTGACGTCCACACCCTTATTTTCTTTTTTATAAATTTTAAATATATTTGATTTTCATTTCTTAGTATAAAATTTATAAAAATAATATTTTTTGAAGAAAATGCTAATAAATTACCCAATATTATATTACATCTATGTGATTGACTTGGAAAATCACCACTATTTTTACAAGTTTTATTAAATTATAATTGATATATTTGTTTAGAAATACTTCTAAATATCTAAAAATTAATATTTTCTAATTTTATATATTTTAAATTTACATGATTTACTAGACAATGACTAAATCACGTCAACTCTTCACATAAGAGTTTAGATAAATAAATGGGACACCCAAGAAGGGCTGCTTTAAAGGAAACTATTGTGAGTAAAAAAGATTATAGAGGGAGGTAGTACTAGAGCACGAACTAGGGTCAATTCCTCTTAACATTATGCTCATTGAGATCAGTTGCATCTAAAGCCCTTATGAGTTTCTCATGAGCCACAATGGTGACTTTCTCCTATAGAGAGGAGTGACTATGTTCATCAGATCCATCAAGAGTGGGATCACCAATAGCATCTGCTTATCTCTATTTAGCTTGAATTTTTCTAATCATTTTCCTTAAGATGATGTTGATCTTTGGAAGGGGTGATGTGACTTAGTCGTTGTATAGTAAATCACGCAAATTTAAAATTTATTAAATTAGAAAATACAATTTTTTGGATATTTAGAAGTATTTCTAAACAAATATATCAATTATAATTCAATAAAACTTCCAAAAATGGCAATAATTTTCCAGGTCGATCACAACGATGTAATGTAATATTGAATAATTATTTAGAATTTTTCTCAAAGAATACTATTTTTTATAAATTTTATACTAGAAAATAAAAATAAAATATATTTAAAATTCATGAAAAAGGGAAATAAGGGTGCAGACATTAGAATGATGTCAACGCCTAGCAAACGTGAATCAGGCAGAAATAGAGTTCCACTCAATGATTTTTACGTAAGCGATTATAGATGATTTAATCGATTAAATTGAGATATATAAAAGCCAGAAGAATTGTAATTGAATGAAGTATATCTTGATAAATCTAAATCACACAAACTATCACTAAATAAAGCAAAAAGTAAGTTAAAAGTAGAAAAATAGAGTTCTAGCGTCGCGACGGTGATGCATCGACGATGCACTGGAATCCTGAGCGTTTGGGAGGATTGTATTGTAATATCTATGACCTCGAAGGCTCTCCTTGGACAAGGACAATAGGAGCAATCTCTAGATCTCTTTGCAAAATCTAGAGATCAATAAAATGAGTCATTGAATTATCTCCGGTAGTTGTCACCTGATAAGTTTTCATTATCATGAGTTAATAATTAGTAAATAATATAGTTTTAGCCTTAACTCATGATAAATAGACTTATATTTATGTTAAAGTATGATTTGTGGTTTTCAATTGATTAACGTGAATTTTTGGATAATATGTGATTTTATACGATTTTTACAGTCTTACTTTTGAGATAAATAAAGAATAAAAAATAAAAAATATTGCAAAATGGGGGGACTCATCAGCCAACTGGGCCCACAAACGGGTTGGAAGCGTAGTCGGGGAGTAGCCGCAAGTAAGGGCTCGAGTGGCTTGGCTTGGACTGATAAATAGGGGAACATATGCGCCACTCCCCTTCCACGTCACCAATGGCCAGCCGATTGTGGGGCAAGGAGTGGTCATACACGTAAGAGTAGTGACTTTGCTTATAAAGCTAACATTACTATATATTCGTCCGAAAAATCGACGCACAACTGATGTGGGACTAAACCCACGTCACACCTTCCTCAAATGTGGGGTGACCGGTGAGGGTTTGAATCCTCCCAGAGTCAAAATTCATATATTTTTATCTGATTATCGCGACTTTCCTACATATCGTTAGTGAAGGATTAAGCAACGAGAATCGCTGGATCATCGGCGAAAATCTCATCAACACGATTCGCGGAGCATTGCTACTAAAATTACTGAATGATTCGTGATAAAAGGATTGCAATCCATCAAGTAAATCATCTCTGATTGATCGACAAATAAGTTGTCGTCGAGAAGAGGACGATCCGCCAAGAGATGAGTCGCCACCTCCTGAGAGTGTACCAGATGCGATGAAGAGCCTCCTCTTGCTGCATGGACCTGAGGATGAAGCTCCCTGACACACGCCCCACATCCATCTAGCTCCTCTCCGTCGAGTGACAGCTGCCGGAGAGCCGCAAAGTCACCGTTTTTCTGCTCCGTCAGGTGACAGCCGCCGGAGACGATTTGACGATCCACTTCATTGATCTCTAGACTTCGCGAGAAGATCTAGAGATTGCCCACGTCGTCTTTGTCCAAGGAGAACCTTCGAGGCCGTGGACACTACACGACAATCCTCCCAAACGCTCAGGATTCCGGTGCATCGTCGACGCATCGCTGTCACGACACTGGAACTCTATTTTCCTACTTTCAATTTACTTTATGCTTCATTTTGTGATAATTTTTGTTTTTTTCAGTTACCAAAATATACTTTGTTCAATTACGATTCTTCTGGCTTTTATAGATCTTAATTTGATTAATTAAATTGTCTGTAATCGCTTATACAAGAATCACCAGGTAGAACTCTGTTTCCGCCCGATTCACGTCCGCCGGGTACTGACGTCATCCCGACGTCCGCACCCTTATTTCTTTTTTTTCGTGAATTTTAAATATATTTCTTTTTTATTTCCTAGTATGAAATTTATAGAAAATCGTATTCATTGAGAAAAATTCTGAGTAATTACCAAATATTATATTACATCCCTATGATCGACCTAGAAAATTACCGCTATTTTTGGAAGTTTTATTGAATTGTAATTGATATATTTATTTAGAAATACTTCTAAATATCTAAAAAATCATATTTTCTAGTTTTATAAATTTTATATTTGTGTGATTTAATATACAACAACTGAGTCACATCATCACCCAATATAGTGGAAAAATGGCGAATTTGCGGCTCTCCAACAGTTGTCATCCGACGAAGAGGAGCTAGATGGAAGCAGGGTGTGTGTCAAGGAGCTTCATCCTCAAGTCCGCATAGCAAAAAGAGGCTTTTCATCGCATCCAATATGCTCTCAAGAGGTGGCGACTCGTCTCCTAGTAGATCGTCCTCTTCTCAATGATAGTTTATTTGTCAATCAATGGGAGATGCTTTACTCAATATATTCGCAATCCTTTTATCGTGAATCGTTCAGCAATTTTAGTAACAATACTCTACAAATTGTGTTGACAAGATTTTTGCCGATGATCCAACGATTCTGGTTGCTTAATCCTTGACCGGTAATCTACAGGAAAGTCACGATAATCAAATAAAAAATATGAGTTTTAGCTCTAGGAGGATTCGAACCCACGTCGGTTGCCCGTCCCTTTCTAAGGAAGGTGTGACATGGGTTTAGTCCTACATCACTTATGCGTCAAAGTTTCAGGCGAATATATAGTAATATTACATTTGAAATTAAGTCCCTTTCTCGCGCGTGTATGACTACTCCTTGCTCCACAATCGGCTAGCCACTAGTGATGTGGAAGGAGAGTGGTGCACATGTGCCCCTATCGGTCCAAGTCGCTCGAGCCTCTGCTCGCAGCTACTCACCGACTACGCTTCCGACCTACTTGCAGGCCCGGCTGACTGGCTGGTCCCCCTCATTTTGCTATATTTTTATTTTAATTTCTTTTTCTTCATTTATCTCAAAAGTAAGACTATAAAAATCATATAAATTTATATAAAATTACAAAATAACCCAAAAATTCACATTAATCAACTAAAAACCACTTTTCACACTTTAACATAAATATAAGTCTATTTATCATGATTTAAGGCTAAAAATGTATTATTTACTAATTATTAACTCATGATAATGAAGACTTATCAAGGGGCGTGTATAAATTTGGAGTCATACTCCCCCTTTTATCTTAACCGACTGCCTAGTACACAATTCTCAAAATTGCATCTTTCTATAGTTCCTCTTTTTATATTTTATCCATCTATAGTAAGCACTATGACTTCCTTCATATGAACAACCTTCTTGTTTTCCATCTTTGTCTTGTAGAGTGACATCTCTTCTTTATAGAGTTGATGAAGGAGATGATTGTATTAGGATGCACATGTGATAATAGAAGCTGATTGAAAAATAAAATAAAAAAGCATCATCATCAACTTCTTTGAGCAGGTGAATTACAAAACATGCAAGAGTAGAGCTATGGGTGTAAATGTCATATTTTAAGGGTGTCATGAAGTGTGTGTGTGTGTGTGTGTGTGTCCACGTGTGCATGTGTGTATATTTCATAATCAACCATCAGACTGAAGATGATGTATTGAATTAGATTTTGAAACGCTTGGTGAATATTTGATACATATCACTATAGCAATGTGTATACTCCAAGGGAAGGACTACCCTAGTTCAGGCTAAGGTCGACTCACCACACCTGTTCAGATTTAAAAGATTGATTAGACATAATATGGACCCAATATTGATAGCGAGCGGGACCCATCTCCATTAGCTCAAGAGACACCGACAATCCGAGTTCAACCCGATCGACACGCAAAGACGAAGGAGCCTGACTTTTGCTACACGGCCTAGCCCTTCAAGATAACGACATTCTACCTCCACGACGACGACGAGCTCGAGCTCACCCTTATCTTTCTTTGTATTTTCATGTTGACTTGTTGAGCCTTGCATTTGTGTGTTAGCAGACCCAATTCTATGTGTGTGTGTGTTGTTGTTTATGTCTCCCTTTCTTTAGGGTTTTATTGGGTCTCTCTCTTGAGGCCCAATTAAAACCCTAAGGGGGGGGACTTATGTTTCTTTCCTTTTGGGCCTCTTTTGAGGTTTATTTAGGTCTTCATTTGAGGCCTACTTAAGCACTGTACGAGAGCCCTCCTCTTTCTCCTTTTAGGGGAGCTTATTGGGTCTCTCTTTTAGAGGCCTAATAAGCCCTTTTTGTAGCCTTTTTGTGGCTTATAGGCTTGAAGGCCTCAAGAGGGCCCACCTCCCCTTAGCCCACTTGTGGGCCCTTTATAAGGGGAGGTAGGACCCCCCTCAACTCGAAGCACTAAATTTTGTGAGAGATTATCATTTGTGAGTTACCTTCTTCGTGACCTAGGGTAGGGAGGGAAGGAGGGAGAAGAAGGCCTTTGATACCCTTTGAGGACTTCGTTCATTGTGAGGCTACTGCCTGAGAAGTCCCGCCGCTGCCTGAGACCAACTGCCGCCGCTGGACATCTTCATTGTCGCCTGTGAGATCGCCGCTGTCACCAGACAAAATAGTCGTGGTTGCCACTGCAACCACCGCCACCTCTACTGGAACCCCATCACACCGTCGTGACGAAAGGGACTTGCTTTGCCTCCCTACGAGCCGTCGTTGAGCACTCCCCCGGAGTCTCTTGACTCCTAGTTTGACTGCCACCTCTTCCTTTGGAACTCCACCATAAACTCGCTAGAGCCGCCATCTGCCGCTCTGTCCAATCGTTGGCCATTCACCGACAAACGTCTACCTGCCACCAACGTTGAGAGAGACCCTGCAGCCATGTCGATGAACCAGATCCAGTCTAAGCTCCTCACATGCCCCCGCCGGAGTTTCCTGACGATCTGCCGCCATCATGCCATTTCTAGTGCTGCCTAGACCAGGAGTGTTCAACCCTCCCTAGTATCGTCAGTCGGGATCGTCTCCTTCCTCTGCTCCACTTCCTGGTGCTGCCAGAGAAGGCCGATCCTTCCAGCGATAGTTGGGCTTCCGCCCAACCGCCGACGCTCGGCATTCCCGCCGAAGCCCCACCGCCGAGCACTCCCCGCATGCCGGCTCCTATGGCCCGTGTGCCCACCTAGTGCCGCCGCCTGTGTGCCTCGAGGCATGCTGCATGGCTTGCCATGCGCGCCCGCTAGCGTGCCTTTCGGCTCGCCAGTGGGCCCATGCCCACGCCAACCGCACCATGCCTTATGATGACGACTACTGTGACTCTCAACCAGAACCGATCGTCAAGACTGAGCATCGCTCTTCACTAGATGTCTCTGCTTATGTCGAGTCTCCACTCCGCCACGACCCCCTGGGCTACACAGCCCCGAAGGTTAGCTCCGTACCCCTTCTTACTTAAGTTTAATTATCTTTTGAAGGGTTTTCTCGGCTCATTTTCATCACCATCAGGAGAACGTAAACAAGATAGGACAAGTAATAGGATTGTGACTTCTAACACTGCATCAGACTCATCACCGTTCGTGAGCTGCAACCCTAGGCTACTTCATGACAACCATTCTGCCATCTGTCTGGACCTGGACTGAGAGGGTCTCACACTGACCATCGTCAAGTGTTTCCCCAGGTTATCCTAGATTGATAGTGTATATTGGTATGCCTACTTGTACTTAGTTAGGTGGTCAGACCTAGAGTCTAGGGTATATACATTCTTATTGGATCGGTCCAACTGCCCCATCCTAGGTCTTGAGTTTCATTGGAACGTACAAGGATTCTCGCCCCATCCTACATCAAATATGTTGTATAATGATTAATATTGACAATACATCATCAATATTTAGCAGAGCAGTATATGTTATCATCGGCCAACATAGCAACTACCTGCACCATACACTCCCCAAGTTTGATCAGCTCAAAATGGTGAAAAAATGTTCATTTATTTAAGTTGTGGTGGATGCATTCTCTTCAAATGAAGAAATCTTCAACTAGCTGAGTTCAAGATCTAGTACATGCTTACTCATCAGATAATTTTGATTAAGAAAATAAGATGGCATAAGCACGATAAATTGGGAGAAAAGGGACACAAAAAAAGCAGCCTTAATAACACTTTGATCAATGGAAAAATAAGCTTGCTTAGTTTGTGGATAGGGAATCGAGCCATGTAAAAAAAATTAATAAAGAGTGAGTAATTTGAGAGTTGAGATGATGAACCTTTTAATACTAAAGGCACAAGTCTTGTACAAGTTCTACCTCTCATCAAAAAGAATATGCATGAGAGAATAAGGCATCAATGGCATGTGCTTACTTGTACACTTGGGGAAAGTGCACAATATCATATCCCCCTTTTGATTTTGACAGCTTTTCCCTCTCAAAGTCATGTGTCCTAACTCTCATCGTCAAAGAGTCTCCCTTGGCCCCAACATTTCTAGATTACTGTGCTTCCACTCTTCAAAAATCAATCTACTTCCC